CACCGCCTCCTATAGAAGTAGATAATAATGAAGAATTTGAGGTGGAAGAGATATTAGACTCAATGCGGCGCCGAAATAAGCTGGAATATCTTGTCCATTGGCACGGATATGATATTAGTGAACGCACATGGGAGCCAATGAAGAATCTTGTAAATGCAGCAAAGGCAATGGAGGCTTTTCATCGACGACATCCATCAAAATCAAGATGAAAACCTTCTTTATAAAAGAAACAACATCTAGGCAAGATAACATTCTACTTTCAATTCTTATTCGTAGCTTCGTTGTAGTAGTGGTGCTCAGGAGATGGAGAACCAACAACCAACGGATTTAACTCAAGAGCCTTCATTTTCTGACCTGTCGGACGAGATATTACGATTGTCACAACCTTCAAGACAACGCAATCGAGATGAAGATCTTCAAGAACGACATGTTCTTCCTCGAATAGATGGTGAGATGTTCTTCCTTCTAGAAAGGGGGGTAATGTCACGGCCATAATCATGTAAGCTAATAATTACATATAGAAATAGGTAGAAGTAAGTAAAAGTAAATAAAAGTAAGTTAATTCTATAATATTTAATATATAAGCTTCCTAGAAACTTCCTAGACATTGCTTTGACTTCATAGGTGTCTTTAATTGACTTTTTGGATTAGAAACGTGGTCAACAAGTTGGCCATGTGCCACACATGTTGTTAGCTTGAAGATCAAGCTAACTATGTGGCCTACACGTAGAAAAACTTGCCTTGTAAGTCAAGGCATGTGTCCTACAAAGTCAACACATATTGGAGGTCCTATAGAACGTCGCCACGTAGCCCCTAGTTAGATAGTATATATAGAGACAAGAGTGAAGGCTTCTTCACTCTTGTCAACTCCTTTCTTGTTTCCAGTCTAGTTTCAAGGGTCTCTAGTTTTCTTGTCTTTTGGCAATAGCCATTCCAGTTTCCATTTAATATACATACTTATTTATATTTTGTCTTATTATATCGAGATAGCCTTTTTGTGTATATTTTCCCTCATTGAGTCTTTGTCCTTGACAACCTATCTTGTTTCAAGTATGGTTGTAAGATGTAGAGACATCGACTAGGATGGAGTGCCATTCACTTGTATTGACTTTTGGACCCCTCTCTTATTTTGTTATGCTTGAACTCTCTATCTTTAGAAATAATCAATTATTTTTTGAATGATTTTTTAATATTAATTTTAATATTTTATTTGGAAATTTTAAAGAATAGTTTTTTTCTTTGTTAGCTGTATAAAAAGCTCTCATTTGGTCCAAAGAGAATTATTATGAAGACAAAGTATATTTAGAATTAAAAGAGATTTAGCCATTCTTTAAGGTCTTCTTTAGAATTTTCTTTGGTGGTTTTTTTAAAGTTTTTAGAAATTTTGAATAGCAATTTTTCTCTTTGTAAGTTTTTTAAAATGATCTCACTTGCTCTAAGTGAAGTTAGTAACTCTCTAAGTTATAGAAAAAATTTAGAAGTATATATATATATATATATATATATATATTTATTTACTAAGTAAATCTCCAAAGAATCATCACATGCTCAAATCTAATAAATTATGGAATTATGGCACCTAGTTGAGTGAAGAAGAGATGACAAATTTTACATATTATTAAGAGTATGAAGTAGTAGAGTTCATTTGAATGAAAGATATTATAACATATCTAGTTGCAACCATAAATCCTATATTTTTCTAAAGCAAATATTTTTACTATGACAATATGTAGCTCTATTAAGCTTCATACAAAATAAAAAAAATCATTCTTTCAAAAAAATCTTGTTATTTAGTAACTAATCCAATTTCTTTCTATAATAGAGATAGCTAAAAAAGAATTCCTTGTTGAAGCTTGTATTAGACTATAAGGTCTTCTCACATATTCCTAATTACTTAAATTCTATCATAATTCTCATGTGAGCTTTGATCATGCATTGCAATTATAGAGTTTAGCATCAAAGTCACGTATATGGTTGCATGCCATTCAAGAATTGCCTTTCTATTGCAACCTCTATGCCATCAAGCTTTAATAAAGTCCTATTTTAAAATACTTAAATTACAAGAAGGTCCGTTTGCATTCAAATTGGTAATGCATATTTAATGCATAAATTTCAATGATAGAATTGATCTTTGAAATCTTTATTAATTTTCCAAAATATTATCTTTATCCAATCTTTAAAAAGTAATAGAAATTCATAACAATCAGGTCATTGAAAGATTTGGTGATTATCTTCTAATTGGATGCAAATAGATTTGCTTCTATAATCTTTAAGGTCTTCAAGTCTAAAAGAAAAACAATTGCAATATAAGCAAATAAAAGTCTATATTTTTTATACTTTGATACTAGTAAGATGTGCCAATTATCAAACTTTTTGGTCTTCTTCTTCACCAATAGAGTACCACCTTATGCCAATATACCTTTTAAGTATTTATACACTAATGAAACAACTCCTATGCTTCCAATATCCTCACTTATAGATAAATGAGGGGCTTCATAACCATAATGTGTGTGAATTAACAATGTTAGTAGGATATAAAATATTTTGCAAAATCAAATCCTATAAGAGAATCTCTTGAGCATTAATTTTTTTCAAGTCTTTGGCCAATATAATAAAGACATGTTGAACTTATATCTCTTTAGTTGTATGCTATCTTAAGCAAAAATATGACTCAAATTTCTTAATTTCATTAAATTTTATTATCAACTACCTTCTAATTATTGCTTTCTAATTTCAAAATAAAAAATGGTCATTAAGATGCTTCTCAATAATAAGGCATATGCCAAAATCTATACAAGAAGGTTAAGATCCATAGCCTAGCCTAGAAAAAAAAATAATATTGATTCTTTGTGATATTATAAACAAATGTGATAAAATATATTTTTACTTTTAATCTATAAGATTTTTGTAATTTATAAATAGATTTCTATTTTTACTAATAAAAGATTTAAATTATTTTTTTATTGATCATATTTTAACTTTGTTCTTTTAGGATTTTAAGTTTATCCATTCTTCTATTTTTGATTATTGTAATTCTAATGATATGCTTAAAATCTTCAACAAATCTATAGTTTAATAGATATGAATTTTTTTTAAATTACTACCAAAATTTATGATTTATGATTTAAAATTTAGAGGTTACAAAGGGCTTACCAAGGTTTTTGTCATAATTGTTTTTAGAGTTTTGAATTCACATACCTTCCTATTTTTGATGCTTTGCAATCCTTGTTATATCATCAGGAAGTAAAACATTTTTTAGTTTAGAGGATATGAGGCTTTGGTATATTATTATTTTGAAAGAATTAGTTTTGTATTTGGACTTTTTTTTTACAATATGAATATTAAGTAACTAGTTTAAAGTGGTTTTTTTCACACTAGCCTTACAATACCTAGTCTGCATCTATAGGCATTAATATCAAATACGAAATACTTAGTTTAGAGGTAGATACGTTCATACTATGATTTAGGCCTTTCATAATTTTAAGTGTAGTAATTTTATCTAAATTACAAAATTTTAGATAAAATATTTATACTCAATTTTAATATGTATTTCAGCAATTTTGACACTAATTTAAAATTTTATTAGATGTTTTATTAAAATAAATATAAAATTTTAATTTTTTAATTTTTTAAAATTTTACACATAGTCACTCTTGTTCTCACAAACATGAGTTTGATTTTTCTTGTCATTAAATATAATTCATATTATGATGTTGTATTAGGTAAATAAAAAATAATAGAATAATAAAATAAAATCTCAAACTATAAGAAATAAAGTCTATAATATTTTATTTTAAAGATAAATTAATCTTAAAAAAGTAAAATTAATTTAAAACTTCACAATACATTAAATACTATTGTATTTTAATAACAAAGATTTATTATTTATATTTGAAAGATTTTATAGATTACATCTTTAAAAAGTAAAAAGTAGATTTTTATGATTTTTATATGCAATGTTTAATTTTTTATATTTTACATATTTTTTATTATGAAAAAATATTATTCAAAAAATTAGAAAAGATTTGAAATGAAATATGGTACTAATAGAAACAAAATGATTTTTGGATTTTCGGAAGAACTTATATTGTGAAATAAAGAGATAATTTTGTAATATTATTAAACCTTTATAAGATGATTTTGTGAAAAAAGAAATTTTTATTTTTTTTATTATAAATTTTTATAATATATATATATGGTTGTGTCTCTCTTTTGAGAAAATAATGATAAAAGAAAGTATGTTTAGGTTCATCACAATACATCTTCTTATTAAGGCAAACTTTCTTATTATATAAAAGTAAAAATAAAATTTTACAACTTCAATTAGCACAATTTTTTGATTAATTAATTAATTAATCAATTTTATATCTTTTTACCAAAAAACAAGATCTTTTTATATCTATTTTAAAAATAATATCTGTTATTATACAATTATAAACACATTAAGATATAATTATGCAACTTTTTTGATACAAATGAAATCATAATTACTTTAATATATTAATTTTTATGTAAAATAATCAATTTTTTTAGTATATATATTCTCTCAAAATATTAGAAGAGAAATATATATATATATATATATATATTACAGTGTGTTATATTGTAAATTGTAACCTTAAGAGTTTTAGTCTAAATTACCAAAGAAATCAAACTAACATTAAGTATCAAGAAGACGTAGGATTACTTGTAATTCTTGGAATATAAATTTAAGAAATAATGAGAGTTTCTAGTTCCATAATTATATTATTTCATTCTCTAATCCTGACTTCATATTCATATTCCACACACAACTAAAATGAAAACTTCACACAATAATATGGAAAGAGAACTTGGCATTGTCTTTCGTTTCTTTTACATCCTATTTTCCTCGTCGAATACGGATGAACTAGGCGTATTCGACGAGGAAAATACGTCTAATACTAGATGAACTAGATGAACTAAGCGTCGTCTGTGTATTGGATGAATGTGTGGTTTTAGGGTTTATGACGCAATGCTCCAGCCTCACCTCAAGCCCGTCTTCCTCAATTTTGCAGCAGAAGAATGCTTCCTGCAGCAGCACAAATTTCATGTGTGTACTACAGTTATGAAGCTTTGTCGCGTTCCAATCGCTTCTCCGAGTTATGATCTTGAATTCGAACGCACTTGAAGCGGATTTGGTGGGGGATTCAGTGCGCTTCGATGGCTGAGGCGAGATAGGGGCACAGGGAAGTGAAATGGGGGTATAGGGTTTAGTGCGGTGCCTTGTGAAGGCATGTGTTCAGCAGATCGTGCTTGAGGTCTTTTGAAATGGGGCTGCATCATCATTTGATGCTGCTTCATCAATGTCGCTGCGTCCTTCCTGCCTCCATGGCTCTGGCTCGAACTCTGTCCCATTCGTATGCCTCTAGTTCTGCGGCAGCTGCTGCTGTGGTTCCTGGCTTGTTGGGTGGGAAACCAAGCTCGAGATGTGTGAAGGAGTCATGGGAATGCTGGACTTTGCTGCGGAATTTTAAATTGGATGGTTTGGAGAGGGGTTTTGCGACAAGGAGGTTTGCTCGGGTGGAGAAGTCGCGGGCGGCGCTAGCAGCAGTTGAGTTCTCTGAATCTATCGGTACGCATTTGACTGACCACACCGCGCAGCCTGGAGATGGAGTCGATAAAGGTTTGAAATCAATGCTAGGGTCGAACATAGTCATCACGGCGGGTGCAGAGGTTGGTCGACTTGCGCTGATAAAGTCAGCTGATTTCATCAAGAGTAGTAGCAAGGAATCGGAGTGCCCTCATGAGGGACACCCAGAATTTGCGCTGGTGGGGCGTTCTAACGTTGGAAAATCGTCTCTTATTAACGCGCTGGTTCATCGCAAGGAGCTTGCACAAACATCCAAGAAACCTGGTCAGTGCAATCTTTGTTTATGATCACTAATGTAGCAAAAAGTGGTTTGTGCACTCTACTGTCGACTGCGATATCAGATTATTGTTTTTGCAAAATTCACGTACTCCTAAGTGTGCTTTAGACTGGTAAGATGACTTGTGTCACCACTGCATTGTAGAGAGGTACATGATGCAAGCCAAACTGGCCACAGAATCACACTTGTTCACCTCTGATGGCGTGACGTAATTTGTGTTTGCGATCATATCATGTTCAAGGTTGTGAAGCTTTTTACAATATTTCTCATGATCGTCGTTTGGAGATGCCTTGATTGCGATTGATTCATGATATCTTGTGATCCTATGGTGGCATTGCCGTGACAAGACTGGGAGTTAAAGAAGGACAGTTTGGCTCTGTATTGGTTACCAAACGGATCTAAAATCAGGAAACGATACAAGTCACGAGTTTGTTGGGTGTCCGCTGCTTTTGAACCTTGACTCACTTATTACGAGGCTTTCCTCCCGATTGCTAATGGTGAGAAAGTTTGGATAGAGTGGTTGTTCTTGGAAACATAATACCGACTAACTGTGACGAGCCTTTTGGATTGTGCTAATCAAAGTTCTGAATATTGTGTAGGTAAAACACAGCTCATTAACCACTATCTTATCAACAAGACGTGGTACCTAGTTGACCTTCCTGGTTACGGGTAGAAGCTCATCTCTTTTGTATTTATCTGGCACCATGTTTGTAGTGTAGAACTACTGGTTACAATCACAACATCGCGTTCTTGATTGTATCATCATCCACTATATTGTTGAACTTGTGATCTGTTCCGAACGTCGGCAATTGATTATTTTAATTGTGGTTGTGCCAGATATGCCAAGGCTCCAACTGCCATACGCACTGATTGGAATGAGTTTACAAAAGGTTATTTTTTGAAGCGACAAACACTTGTTTCCGTGCTACTTCTTGTTGACTCTAGCATTGAGCCTCAACAAATTGATCTGGACTGCGTTGGCTGGCTTGGTCGTAACAAGGTAATGTGTGATACCATGCGTACTCAGCCTATGGTGCTTTTTTATTTTATTTTTATTTTTATTGAAGCATTTTTTAAATAGCCGTGGGTGCTACGTTTGTTGGATTCGGCTTTAGAGGTGACGTTCATCGGAACCCGATGAGAGGAAAGGCCAAAGAAATCTTCGAAACTAAATGCGTGGGAGGTATTTCTTGGTCCACAGATTCCAGTCACCATCGTGTTTACAAAATGCGACAGGAAGAAAAAGAAGAAGAATGGGGGGCGGAAACCAGAAGAAAACATTAAAGATTTTCTGGATAGAATAAAACCGTTGTACGCTGAGACTCCTCCATGGATAATGACAAGTTCCGAGACTAACCAAGGCAAGGAAGAGTTATTACGCCACATTGCACAGTTGCGGATTTTATGGGCTAGTTAAGCATCGAATGACATTTTTGCTCTTCATATTTTAGCCTACGACTCATAGATTTTTCAATGGTAAAATTTACTGTTTGTTTAAAGAGCACTATCCTTTAGATTCCAATTGGAGTTCATTGAAGGTATTCCAAGGATATCTATCCAGTCAACTGAGTCTGGTGAATTACCCAATTTCTTGGTTGACGCTTGGGAGAGTTACAATTTACATTTGCTATAGAAAACACGTTACCTGGAATATCGGTGTCACTGGTGTCCTGATCACTTTCAAGCATCAGATGACTTATTGTTTGAGTTTTGAATTCATTTCTGTAGAACAGACAAATGCTCATGTTGACAATGCACAGCACTTCTGTGGAGGATGCCAAACATGCATAGAAACACAAAATAATCAGTCACATCTCATCGTACGTCGTTCTTTCTTTTATCAGTTTAATGAAATTTCATTCTTTTTGATTTAGGTACAAAACTGTTGAAGCACTGTTATTTTACAAAACCGATAATCAAGTCTTGTTGAAACTATCCTTCACGACTAAAATCTGCACAGGGTAGTTACCGTTCGTCATTTCACAAAAGATACGTGTGAATATATATATATATATATATATATCTGAATTCTTCTGGTATAAAAAAGCTTGAGGTCCCAAATGATGGCCACTGTGTTCACAGTCGTGGGGCAATTCAGCTCCGCCAGCGTCGGCTACCTACGCAGCGTCAGATGCTTCGGTGCTTGAGCATCAGCGGATGACCTCGCCACGATCCCTTGAACGATTTCATTCTTATGTGTAAAAAATCCTTCGTCACGCGTTGCAGACCAGGATTGCATGACACCTTCCATTGCGCTGTGCATGCGCGGATGTCACCAATCCCAAAACTAGCGAGGCAATATGCTCTAGGCGCTTCAAGAGTCGCCATCCCCCGCGAGTTGGACTGCAGTTCGCCGGACCGCCACCGAAAGAATGACGGACAAGACTCCTAAGAAGAAGACTTCTGGGGGCAGGTTACAAGTTCGGCAGAGAAGCCCTCCCTTCGCTGGTGATATGCGCGAAGGCATCGCGTGGGAGGAGATTCAAAGCTTGGAGGAATGAGTACATGGAGCGAAAGAGAGAAAGAGAGAGAGCCTGTGAGAGAGAGACAGCACCCACGCTGCACTGAGGTAGTCCTCAAACAGAAGAGATCAATCGACAAAGGAAGTGCGAGCTCTCAAATGGTGATCCGACCCTCGGCGATGGAGCGGCGGAGGGCTCGATTAAACCATCCTTCATCGACGACTTCGTTGGAGGAGGAGCGCAGAGTTCGATGTTTGGGCAGCATCACAATCGCTGGAGTTTGCGGGGATGTGATCTGAGGCGAGCTTTTACTCCCGCCGGCCATCACCTTCAGGCACGTCTCCTTCAAGCTTGTGAGGAACCGCGCAGAAGTGAGGAATTGGAGGCGGAAGCGCCGCAGCCTGAACCTGTGCGCCCGTCTTCTTGGACCAGCTGCACCCTGACCCAAGTGAGCTACCGTCACCATCTTCCGCTTCACCACGAACCCATTACTCCCCTCATGAATACGACTGTACTTCCGCCGCATCAACGCCCTGGACAGCGATTCATAAACCTCCATCCCGACCAATCCTCTGCGGAGCCTCAAAACCCAACTCGAACTGAATCACTCACCCTTCTCCTCACACGGCAAACTCTAAAACACTCCAAGAAAACACACACACACACACACACACGCACACACGCGCGCGCGCGCCGGGCGCGATGAATGTGAAAGCTGGACCCGGACCTGAGAATCTATCTCGCAGCAACGAAGCAGGTAAGCTGCGCCCGGTCCACTCTGCCAAGTGCTGCGTTCTACATCCCGCAAGGAAGTCAGACGATATGGCATCCCAGAATGCATGCGAGGATCGTGGTGAGGTTTGTCCAAGCCAATGGCGAAGTGAGTGAGTGGAGGGGCTAAAAGGGACAGACAATACAGAAGGGTGAAGTGGAAGTGCAGCGCAGAGGACTGAAGCTGTTGGAGTCTCAACTACACCCTGCGCTTTTGGGGTACTGCAGCTGCTTCCTGCTTCCCCATCCATGGCTGGCTCATTGTCTGCCCCTTTTGACCCGCAACATTCAACAGGAGGGTGGCATGTCACTCACATTCCACCGCAAATCTCTCGCTCTCTCGCTCGCCCTCCTTCCCTCCCTCTCTTGAGCGCGCGCCACGTTTACCTGTCCACGACGGTGGACAGAAGTGGTGGGGGCTGCGGTGGGGCTGCGAAGCATCATGGCGCATGTTGCGAGCTGGGCCCCAACAAGAGCGAGAGAAGGAAGGAATGGCAGGATGCGCAGCCTTTCAGTTCGAGGATTGATGAGGAGAAGCTCACCAACCCACTCACTATTCTCGCCACTCGCATCGTTTACCGCTCCGTCGCCACCGCCTTCTTCGCCATGCCCGATCTCTCATCTGTGACAAATCTCCCTCATTTCCCCTGCTCTGCTACAAGACCATCATCACCATCCCGATTATTTCTGCTAGTGTTTCTCTTGATGTTTCCAAACCCTAATTGTGTGTATGCATCATGGGGTGATTATTCCGGCATTGGGGAGAGCATGGTCTCTGCCCAATTAATTTTGTGTATGCGCATGCAATCTCCGATGGAAGCTTCATGGTTGTGGATATATCACATGGAAAATACAATGAAGATGTGTTCAAGATAATGGTAGATGAGAGATTCATTGTGGAGATTCATGGTGTTTCAATGGTAGGATGAGTATGGAAGGCCTTCAGTAAAGAAGGAACTAGTTTCATGGGGGATTGGTAGTGGTGCTCCAGCCCACCATTGTCGTTGTGTCATCTTATTTCATATTCTCCACTAAAAAATCTCATATATATATATATAGATATAGATATCTATCTATTTGGAGTTGTTAAATTGACCCAGATATTTACAAAATTTATCTTCATTATCATTAGTTGCAGATCCAATCAATTTTTCTTTGGTTTTTAACCAATACAGATCCAACATTGGAGAATTTTTTTAATGATGGTTAGGATGGGTGGGTTGATTTAGTAAATGCTTGGATCAATATAATAATTTACTTTATATATATATATATATATATATATATACAAATCTTAGCGGAAAATCCTCTTGTTGGGCACAAGAAAGTTGCATAGATAGAAAATTTGAAGGTTTTGCAAGTTATGTAGGATTTTTTGTGGGTTAAGAACAACTTTGATTTCAGCTAGTAAGAAGGTTTCTTTATCTCTTCATCTTATTCCTATGCTTCCTTAATATATTGATATATGTATCTATCTGTACACATAGATTTGTCTATATCTATTGTACTTTAAAAAAAAGTTATTTTCTCCCAGCAAGTTGCATTATTCATTAGGTGCATTCTTAGTACTCTTTCACTGATTCTTGATTTCTCAATTGATTTTTCCATCCATCCAGTCTTCCTTTTTTATATACTCTAATCATAAATTCAAGAGTTTTTATAAGATGGTTACATATTTTAATTAATTGGACCATTGAAAATGCAAGAATAAAGCTAAATTCAATTTTTTTACTAATCTTAAATAGATTGAAAATTTCAATGAACTTCAACTCTAAAATCCTAAAAAGTAGACAATTTCAGATTTTTTTTATTTGTTTTATTTCCTTTATGATTTTTTTAACATAAAATACTAAAAAGTATGATTTTCTTTTTCTTTTTCTTTTTTTGCAACAATTTTGAAAAAAATGACACTAACTTGATTGCAAAACATTATAAAAGTACCATAGATAGATAAATAGTTCTATCATATTGAATAATTCTATCATATTGGTTTTGTAATTAATAATAATTAAAAAAAACTGAAGATGAAAAATAATAAATCATATATTTTATTTAAATTATAAATCAGTACATTCATAATTAGTAATTTTACACTATAAGAACAATATTTCAATTATAGAATTTACAATACAAGGATATATAACATTTATATAAAATTTATATATCTTTTTAGTAAAACTAATATAACATATTTAACCAAAAAAGAGATAAAAAAAGATGGAAATGTGTATAAATGACATATAGGTATAAATTAGAAAAACAATAGCAAAAGAAATTAGAAAACACTTCAAATTTAGCACATCGCTAAAGTTATTAATAATTATAAATAAATAAATAAATAAATAAATATATATATATATATATATATTAGTATATTGTACACAAACATGTAATCATTGATATTATTATAAATGATTGAATGTAATAATATAGATTTTTTTTTGTTTATTTATCAAATCTAATACATTAGTTCTTCAATTGTATATTTAAAATTATTTCTATGTATATATACATATGTGTGTGTGTGTGTGTTTTGTATATATGGATGAATGGGTTCTTGTGCCAAAAATAAATAAATAAATAAATAAACTCATGTGAACCTCATTTAGACTTTTTATATGTTTGTTTGTGTTTTTTTTTTTTTTGAAGACATCTTTTCCTTTGGAGTTTGAAAACATCTCTCATGAATTGCATGTGAACTCTGGTCATCACGTTCTTTGGAAGACTCAAGTCAATTCTCCATAATAGCTGGTGCTTATCATACTAAATGGCACAGCCATGAATTCCCCTTCCATTTCATTTGGAAAAAGAACAAGAAAAAAACTATTAAAGCTTACCTGCCTGGTTCACACTGAGGCTCTGCCACTGGCAAAATGTAAATTAGTATGTTAAATTCATTTAAGTGTAATTTAAAAATTATATATATATATATATATATATATATTAAAAATGTATGTATGTTTTCACAATTAGAATTCAAACAGCCAGCCTCTCAATATCAACTTCACATCTTTTGGTAGTTAAAAGTCACTAGAGATCAATGTAGATTTAAACTAATTTAGAAACGAAAAAAGAAAAAAGAACCTTTAAACACTTCAAAAAATTGCTTCAACTTTTGAAATCATCTACTATTATAATTTACTACTGTAATAAAAATAGTAAATTTTTATATTCAAATATTTTTATACTTGAAAAATACATTGTAATAATCATGGTTTTGTAATCTCAGATTCGATTCTCAACTCTTACAAATGTTAGTCAAAATTAACTACATAGTAAATGAAAATTAAAATTTAATGTCTAAAAGGTGATTTTAATTTTATTAGATGATTAATTATATTAGATGATTAATCCCATAATTGAAAAAAAAATAATAAATTTAAGTTTTCATAGAAACATTTGTAAGGTATATTTTCAATATTGAACATAATATATATATATATATATATATATATATGTGTGTGTGTGTGTGTGTGTGTTTTTTTAATTGAAATATTTTTTAATGCTTTCAACTCTCAAAATTTTTAATAGTTTTTGTTGTAGAATCTTGGTGAGAACAATGATGATTAATTCAACACTACACAACTAATAACTCATTTTGAAATCCAAGGTAACAGATTATATTTGCTGCATATATATTTTGCATATTTAACCAATTAATTTGTTTCAAATCATATCTTTTGGTAAGCAATTGAGCACAGAAAATGAAATGGAATACTTTGAAGATCAAATTGAATGAGAAGAAATTGCTTTCATACAAGCACTTTAAGTATAATTTCAATTGATTGTTTATAATGAGATAAACAGAATTAAGGAATTAAGATTTGTTTCAAATTTGGATTTTCAATGCAACAGATTTCAGATTTGATTTCAAGTTCAGCTTCAAATTCCCTAAGGTACGCATTATAATTTCTCCCAATAATTAAATTACACTTACCACAGCCCGTATGGCTTTTCCATATTTTATGATTTTATAACATTTTTAATGCATGAATCTCCTCTTGATCATGTTCATTCAAATCATATGCACACGCAAATACATACATACATATATATATATATATATACAAACATTTCTTATTGATCATGAGATTAAATTTAATGAAGCAAGGGAGGAATAAATAAAAATGAAAGAAAAAGAAAAAGAAAAAAGAAAAAAACATTCTTCGAAAAAACTGAGCATTTCCCACAACCATTGAGGGCTCTGCATAGCTCAGTCAACAGTGTACCAGAAGTGTTTCAAGCTACTGGCATTGTGCAAGGTCAGAAACAAGTAGAAAATGCCGTCAACATCTGAAGCATACTGTTCCACAAACGCTGAGTGCATGAAATTAAACTGTCAGAGTGTGACAAGTCTTGACCCAAAATTGGTCGTCAACGGTCTTTAATCCTAGCGAAGTCGACCCTGACGAGTACAATCCTCTACGTGACCACATTACAGCAATGGGCTTTAGGTGATTAGGAGTTAAAAATAAAGATAGAAACAAAGTCCCTGGTAGGTTTTCCGGCTGAAGTTAACTCAAGGTATACTACACGCATAAATGACTTGTGGAGAAGTTTAGAGCACTCTTCCGCTCACTGCGAATTCACTACGAATTACAAGTGCTGCACTACAAAACTACAACTGGGAAGACTGAACTGCTCATAGCATTGAAGAATGAGACTGGAAGAAAATTGCTCGTCGTCTAGGATTTGCAGAACTCTTCCAAGGTCTCGTCGAGAGCTTTCCGATCATATTCCCCAGTAAACACACAGTTACCAAGAGGTCCCTTCAGGAGAATGAGCCTCAACAAGCCATCAGCAACCTTTTTATCAACAGCCATAATTGTTTTAAAAGTCTGCACATCCATAGACTCCGGAGGAGAAATAGGAACGTTCGCACGCTTTAACAGATTGACAATTCGGTTGAACAGGGTCTCATCGATCCAGCCGAGTCTCAAGGACATGTCAGCAGCCATGACAGTCCCAGCTGCTACCGCCTCACCATGTAACCAACCACCGTAACCAATACCTGCCTCAATTGCGTGCCCAAATGTATGTCCAAGATTCAAGGTTGCCCGAAGCCCACCTTCTCTCTCGTCCAGGGTTACCACTTCTGCCTTGTTCTCACAGGACCTCTTTACTGCAAATGCGAGAGCCTTGGGGTCGCGGCTTAGCAATGCTTCCATGTTCTCCTCTTGCCATTCAAAGAATTCAGCATCGCGGATAAGTCCGTATTTGGTAACCTCAGCAATGCCAGAGGCAAGCTCTCTATCAGGAAGCGTGTTGAGGGTGTCGGTGTCCACAAGGACACACTGAGGTTGATAGAAAGCCCCTATCATATTCTTTCCAAGTGGATGGTTGACACCAGTCTTTCCACCAACAGAAGAATCTACCTGCACAATCCACCCGCAACGAAGTCATGTCTCTCTCCAGCAGTGGATGCAAGACTTTGCAGAACCAGGTCACTACTATCTACAGTTCGATAAGTATTGCAATTCTAGAATCTCGACGCTGAAAAATACAAGGTTGCAAGAGCAAAAAGTTATCATATACTGGAAGAAACATACGTTCGGGGTTAAAGGAAATCATGATTCAACCTGTGCCATGAGGGTCGTAGGAATCTGGATAAAATTGACACCACGAAGATAAGAAGCAGCAGCATAACCACACATGTCCCCGATTACTCCACCTCCCAATGCAACAAAAGTGCACCGCCTGTCCATCCGTGTCTCAATGGCCTTGTCGTAAACCTTCATCAGCGTTGGAAGATCCTTGTATTTTTCTCCATCTGGAAGTATCACACTTTCAATCTCCACATCGAAGCCTCCATGTTTCAACGCTGCGATCGTCCTGTCTAAATAGATTGGGGCAACAGTCTCATTTGTCACAATCAGTACCTGCAACGCACTTCGGCGGTATGAGAGATCAAAGGCCAGGCTGTCCAGAAGTATTCAACATGCTCTTAGAACTTCGAACCAGTACAAGTGCAAACACATAACATTCTAAAATGCTCGTTACTTGTCCCTCGGCGCCAGAGCCAAGCAGACGAGAATCTGATAGATCTTAAAGATTGCTCTATCGCCTCTGAAAGAAACTAGATTTTATTTTGATTGATTGATTGATTGATTATCATTATTATTTTTGCAGCTAATGCACGAGAATGATAAATACAAGAAAAGCTGCAAAATGAGCACCATGATCCAGTTTGCAACCAGCCTAGCCCATTTTAGGGCTTAACTTGATAATTGCCAAAAAGGAATTAACAGAGAGCATAGTGAAAATATAGCTAGGACTGTATAACGGGGCACCTTAGCAACAAAAATGGGTAACAATACACCCCTAATAATCTCAGATACTCTATCAATCCCCAAATGGAGAAACAAATCACCCATCAGGCTGTAGGCACGCAACACACAAAGGACGGAAAATACTAAAGGAAAGAAGTTGAACCGGAATTATCTAACCTTCTTGCCTTTGACGTGCTTCTGGAGAAGCTCAGACCGGTCGAGCAAACCCGCGCCGATGTAGATAGGGTAACTTCGGTCACCGAGGTCCACATTCACGATGACAGGATCCTCGCGCGTGGCAGGAGGCGCGCTCTCCATCACTCCAGCACCACTCGCCCTCACTCCCTTGAACACCTTGCAAACCCCGGCCGCTCTACTCTCCGCGCTCCATACAGCACTTCGAGCGCTGCTCGCACCTCTTAATACCGCCCCTGAGGCCAATTCCAGCCCTTTCTTGGCTGGAAAAACGGCAGAAACACCTTTCGAAACAGCGAGAGAAGACGCAGCCGCCGTGGGCAGAGGCTCCAGCGCCCCGAGCAGGGCCGAAGAAGCGCAGCGTGCGGCCATGGAAGCCATTCCGCGAGCAGCAAAGCAAATTCACAAACTCAGCCACACATACACACTTGAGCCAGCAGGGACGAAGAAGACTTCAAGCATTCACTCCCCCTCGTGGATGAATGCGCTCACACATCCAATATCCGTTCATTTAGTGGCTTCCTAAACTAGATTAGTGAATCTAATCCCGTTTAGACTGCCACTATTACGTGCACCCACCTCGTTTGAATGGCTGCTTTTGACCGTGGATGGCTCAGAGGTCAACAAAGGATTGCTCCCTTCATCCTAAGGTCTACCCTTTGATGCTTAAAGTAGGACCTGATTTTCATGACTTGAGGTGAAGTCCTCATTAGAAAGTGACTCTCACATGACCCTTGTGGGCCTAACCCCCCTCCTTTCTTCATTCCTCATGTGTATGTGTTTCTCCTTCCAGAAGCTTCCAGCTTTGTTTCTCCATTCAGTGTTTGTGGATGTTTTGGCCATCCTGTAAGTTGTAAATGTAAACGCCATCTGACATGTAAGAAAATGTCCCTGTATATATATATATAGATATATATATATATATTATAATACTATTTGTATGATTGATTGACACTAACTTGCTTTTATTTATTTATTTACTTATTATTCAATTTTATAATGTAGTTTATTCATGTACTTTCAAATAAAATTCACGTTGTAAATACAAACCCTTATTTAAAGGTATATGTGACTGCATATAAAGTTTAGATGATAGAGTATTGATGAACATGAAATCATATATCTCATAATGTTGTTATGAAATTTCAAAAACAAATATGACAAAAAGAAAACAGAAACGTGACAAATAGAAGTCTATGTCTTTTCTTCTTTTTTTCTTTCTTTCTCTTCTTTTTTACTTTTACTTTTTTCACAATAATATATTTTCATCTTTGCCTCTCCCAAAAGTTTTGTCTTTTTTCTTTCTTCTTTGCCTTGCACAAAACTTTAACAATAGATGAAGGTAAAAGTAGATTGTAACTATAAATCTATGGTTGTTTTAGCAATAATCTATAAACTCCAAATCTATAGTAGCAATGTCTAATCTTCTAATTTTTCAGTTATTTTTTTTATTCTTTTTTAAATTGTTTTGAAGGATTTTAAGTTCCACCATATCTTTTTAAATACAAACAAAACTATTAAATTACCCTTGTAGAAAAAATTCTTAATATATTTATTTTAATTAATATTCCTTTAAGAAGCCTTTAATATATTATTTTGTTGAGTAGTATTGAAGTAAGTGCTTCAAAAGGTGCAATAGAGATTGCAAAAGTTGTAAGAGAAAATTTTCTAGTTGAAAAATTAATTATTTAAAAACAAATTGGGTACAACTGCCAAGAACTTCTAATTAGATGCTGTAATTGAGACCTCTAACAACTTGATAAAAAGTTATTTTTTAATAAATCTCTATTTTGATATTATAATCAATATACCTAATGAGTTTTTGAGATTTTTTTAACTGTTGTAATTGACACCACTAATGTCTTGTATCTTAAATTTAAAAAATATTTATCAATAACTAAGTTTGTAGATTTTATTATTATTATTATTATTATTATATTTTAAGGAAAAAATCACACACAATTAGCTAAGAAGTAATATATTTCAAAAAACTTCGTGCCAACTAATATATATTATTCATGGTATTTATTTTGATATTTTGTTATATATTTGACTTTTTATGAATATTTCATATTTATTTGTTAAATTTTAATTAGTACTGGATTACATTAGGAAAGGTCATATGATAATACATGGTAAAGATAGGTCCACTTCTAGCAACTATTTTTGATGTACAATTTTTTAAACTTTTCTAGTTGGTTATTTCAAAGGTTTGTGATGAAATCTATACTTATCTCTTAAGATCTTATAATGTTTTTAGTAATGATGCTTAATTTCGTGTTCTAAATTAGTCAATAAAACTATTCATCTTCTATTTTTGTATTAATATATTTTTGTATGAATTGCAGCTAAAATCAAAGCAATTTTTTTAAGTTACTAGTATTTAAAAAAAATTATATTTGTAAATAATATCTTATACTCAAAAATTAATAAATTTGAATCAATATCAATATAATCCAATTTTTTAAATTATATTATGTATTGACAAGAAAACCAAAATTTTAGATGTATTAGAATTTTTATATACAAATGCAAGTTTATAATGCTAAACATTCAAATTACAAGTGTATTTGATAGCTTTTGTATTAAACAACTCTAGAGTGCATAAAGAACTTAGTTTAGACTCATTGCATAGACATTATTATGAAATTTGAAATTATTGCCAATTTTTAATGACCTTTTGTTACAATTAGGAGATTTTTTTACTATATATGCCAGGAAAATATATATGTATTTTTCAAGGACAATTGTTTTGAAACTTATTACAAATAAGTATAGATTAGAGTCATAGAAATGCAATTTAGAAGACACAACGATGTAAGGGATTTGCTTTAGAATTGAAACTATGTCTACTAAAAGCATACAAAAGGAATCTGATTCTAATACAAAAAAAAAAAGAAAAAAAAAAGAAAAAAAAACACCTAATGTGCAAGACAACAACATAAATATCACGTTTAAATAAATAAATAAATAAATATTTTTATTTATAGCATTTGCCTAGAATGGACTCCAAATTGAACCTACATTGATCCACAAGGGTGCTGCCCACGCTATAAGAGAAGAGAAGGCTAAGGATGCAGTATTGGCATCTTCTTTAGAGCCCTCCAAAGAAATTGTTAAAAAACCAATAAGCAAAGCATGCAGTGGAAATTCTTAATGCAAGACAAATATCAACAAATTGTGCATGTAGATTGTATGTATATATTTTTATTTTATATCATTTAAATTTTTTTATAAATTCAATTAAAGTACAATATATATATTTTTAAATAATGGTAAAGATTAGAAATCTTTACACCTAAAAGTCTATTTTAAAAGTCTATGGTTTAAAAACTTAATAAAGATTTTTTACTTTTGAAAAAAAACTATTTTTTAAAAGCTTGGTCTTCAAAGATAGTATAAAATAAAAAAAATAAACTAAATCATTAATTTAATATTAATATTTATATTACATATAAAATCTTAATTATAACCTTTACAACAAAAGATATATATATATATATATATATATATTGATTTAATGTATTTAGATATTTATAATAATTGAAAATATTTTTTAAAAAATATTTTTATAAAAACCAAATTTTTGAGGTAGATCTAATACAAATATTGTGACACAAAATTTATTTTTTGTTATTTTGTTTTCTTCTTACAGCTTCTTACTTACTTTCCTTGAATATAAAGCCAATCAAGCTTGGTTTTTTTGGTTTTAATCAATTACAAGTTTAGAAAGTTATAGCTCGATTTTCGTTGTTGTTGTTGTTGTTGTTGTTGTTTTTTTTTTTTTTTTTTTTTTTTTTTTTGTCTATAAATGTAATTTTAGGAAATCTAGTATAAAATAATTAAATTCAAGAAAATATTAAAGAACTTAGTTAAAATACTTAAACCTTTGAATAGACATATTACAATTAACAAAAATATAGAATATTAAATTTTTATAAAATATTTGTTATAAGTTAAATAATTCTTTTAGATTTTTTTTTTAAAATCATATCAAATGTTTTTAATTAATTGATGAGAATATTCTACAAAATATCATGAAGATAAACTATCAAATTTATTTTTCTATGTAAAATCTCTTTTAATATAATTAAAGCACTAATGATCATAATGTTAATTAAAACTCCAATTTAATAAGTGATGGATTTACAAAAAAGAAATACATCATCTTATTAAAAATATCCATCCAATATTGAATGCTACATGAAATTAGAAAGCATGCTTTGAAAAAATAAACATCTTTTAGCATCAACTTAAACTATTAATTATATTAAATACTTAATAAAAATGAATCCAACAATTGTCAAATATTTCAATTTTATTTATTAGAATTACATAACTTTTACAATAAAAATATATGTAAGTTCTTGCCATAATTTTTATTACATAAAGTTGAAAATACAAAGTTTATGCTGCTAAAGGAGGTATAACCAAAAAGATCACAACTCTTTAGTATGATGTGACCTTTACTATAATTACTCATTATGATTATGAATTGATTATTATATTATTGTATTTTAATATGCCATCTTAACCAAGCTATGGTATAGGTGGTGTTTCTTCTACAAACAAGCCTAATATTGAAAGGTGTTGGCCAAGTTTTGGCCTAGACAAGGATTTGGTAAAAAGATTGGCATGCATTTTAGTTTTGGAATAATACTAAAATCAAACCTTATTAGTAGTTGCAAGTTTCTTAATAAAATGATAGCAAAATGTAATAAGTTTGATTTGTAATTGAAATTTTGTAGTATTGATAAGAATAAGTGTAGACTAATTGTCACTATAAATGAGTATAGGATGTTTTAGGGTTTTATTTTGTTGCAAGTAATGGAGTAAATAGTAAAGCCAAACTATCTCAAAGGCTATTATGCCATGGCCATATACTCAACCTCAATATTGGAAAGGTTCCATCCTCCATTGAAAGAAGGTACCTCAATTAATGGTGCCTTGTAATAATACAAAACAATAGCTTGAAATAGAATGCCCTTTATTGATTTTCCAAATTCATAAAGAATCAATCATATAAATTGGATTCAAACCACCCAAAAAAATATTTATTTATAATCAAGCTTAAGGACTTAATTGAAGCCTTAAGCAACAAGTTTGATTTTGAACCAATTGAAAACTCTTGTGCTATTGAGTTTGATCTTAAAAATCCATTTATAAGTGACGGGCAATCCATAAAGATGTAGGTTTGTAAATGTTTATGTTTAATTAGTTGTGTAAGAATTTAGTTTATCTACAATAGCTTAATGCTAGGCTTTGGAGGAAGTGATGGCTTCGGTATACAAATTAGGCTCTAGCGGCATATTGCAGAAAATAAAAAGTATTCTTTTTATGCAAGCCAGTTTATTAGATTTCATAAGCAGATAGAAAAAAAGTGCATCATAATTTTCCTCCGGATCTTACATGGATGGAACACTCTTACTATTGTGAACTGACTATCAAAGAAGTAGCTAATACTCACACCAAACATTAACTGCCATATTTCTTTGAATAAGAGGTTAGCCATGATTGCTATCTATATTTGATTAATTTATAGTAATGTAAGAGTTGCTGCAAGGTGAGAATTTTTTCAAGATGAAGATAGGGAATTTATTATGAAGGTGGGATCATTGCAGTTGGATGTAGTGATAGTAGTAGCATTATCTTATTATTTGTGGCCAAATTATTAAATTAAACATAGTGGTAGATTGCCAACATTGGTGGGATATTTTGATGATCTATAGGATTTTGTAGATAGATTGGGTGAGGATGATAGAATAGTGAAGGCATGTGATTCATTTGAGACAACAAAAATATTAGCAAGAGGCTATTGTTGTATCATCTTTATCAAGTAGATAAAATATTTGATTTTTGATTAAAATTCTTCATTTTTGTTGATTATAATCACTTACTAAAAAATAATTTGGAGGTTGGAGGCATACAACATGTTTATGAGTCAAATTATATGTCCATTTATCATTGAGATTTTTAGCTTGCATTAACGACATATGAGTAAAGTTGTTAGAATGTATGCTCCACATCTTTTTAGCACCTTGATAACATCATACTAATAGATGGCATCAATTAGACTCTTGGTTCCATAAGTAAATAGATTGATAACATCATACTAATAGATGACATCAATTAGACTCCTTGTTCCATAAGTAAATAGATTGATAACATCATACTAATAGACATCATCAATTAGACTCCTTGTTCGATAAGTAAACAGATTGCAATTATACTAGGTCACAACCAGTGATTCTTGACTCTTTGGAATAATGTAAGAGTAACTTTCTTATGTACTTAAGGTTATAAGTATATCTCAATAAAGTGTGTAATAGATTTAACATGGTATCAGAGCAATGTTAGAGATCAGAGAGTTGCTAGTGAACTTTACTCCTAGATTAGCACTATTATACTCGTTAGGGTAGTACTGGAGTGAGGAGAAGAGAGCACCAGTGAAGCCATTTATTTGAAGCTTGTAATTTGCATGTTTATTTCCTCTACTGTATTAGTAGTCAACCATGACTAACGACCAATCTTCTATGATCACAATTAGTGAAAGCAACAAGTTAGACTGTGCGAGGAACTGCAACATATGAAAATTAAAAATGAGAGCTATAGGGAGAATTTATGGGACCTAGTAGAAAATAAAATGATACCATCTTCCTTTCCTACCACAATCGGAGCATCTACCTTCACAACAGAACAATTCAAAATACACAAACTCAAGGTGCAAGCCCTGGTTGTAATGGCAGTCAAGGATGAGTTTACAAAGACTATCAAAGATTGACAATCTAGCGGACACATGGCAAGCATTGAAGAGTAACATGTCTGCGCTAGGATTTAAAGACGCTGATAAAACACCAGTTCAACTTACTCTTAACGGGCTCCCTCCAAGCTACAAAGGGATAATCCAAAGCCTCACCGCTCTGGACAAATTATCAAACGTTGCGTCAATAAGCTCTAAGTTACTAAATGTATCTCATCAGCTTGAACTGCGCAGCAACATGCTCGGAGAAGACAGTGCTCTTACTGTACAATTCACACGAAATCAGACAGCAGCTCGCACTCACTGAATCGTGGCATCCCACACTACTGGCGTAGAACTAAAAACCTACACTAATTGAATCAGTATCGCAACATAGGACGAGCAATGCACCAGAAAACACTTTGAACCTCTTCAAGCACAGGCTTCAGATGTTACGTCTGCAGATCATCAGAGCACCCAGCACGACTCTGTCGAAGCAAGTTCTCAGTACTAAAAGAAGATACCAACGCAAACATTGTCACAAATGAACGACATGACATAGCAAGCACAGTTGAGGATATCGACGCAGCTCTCACAGATATCACAAGAGGATCAGATAAAATTTAGCCTTGCTATCTAGATTCAGGGGCGACTCGCCATGTCACAGGGAATAGAAGATTCCTAGATACACAAACCAAGAAATCATGGAAATGATACTACAATAGGTGGAGAGAAACACACAATAGAAGACACTGGCAGTGTAACTCTATATACTTCACAAGGAGAAATTAAGCTCAATGAGGTTCTCTATGTGCTCAACCTCAAAAAGAATTTCATTTCTCTAGGATGCCTAGCACAAAATGAAAAAGTAGTGGCCTTCTCTAACAAGTAGTGTTGGATTGTGAATCAAAGGAACAAACTTATCTTGGCAGGACATTGTGGCAAAAGAAACGGATTATACAAGATTGACATTCTCCTCACACAATCAAACCATGCAACTAAAATCGTACGAAGTAACACAACCCTAGGTAGCGATTCAAAGTTAATCGAACTGTGGCATCAAAGATTTGGGCATCTAAACTATAACAACCTTAGCTATTTATCACGTCACAATAAAGTAACAGGTATGCCATCCCTCAACCCAATCAAAACTGTATGTGCGCAGTGTCTGGCTGAAAGACAACACTGTGAAAGGTTCCCAAAGAAATCCTTCACCCGAACCAAGGATTCTATAACTTCTACATGCAGACCTTGTAGGTACAATGCCGACGCCTTCCCCACGTGGATCCAGATACTGCATGTTGGTTACAGACGATTACTTAAGAAGGTCCTAGGCCTTCTTCATGTGAGCAAAATCTGAGACACTATCCATATTTAAAACTTTAAAAGTCTTAGTAGAAACAAAAACGAGACTGAAAATTGCGAACTTAAGAATTGATCGTGGAGGGGAATTCATGCTCGTGTATTCCAAGCATTCTATAATCCAAATGGAATTGGGAGGCAACTAACTCACCCGGATATTCTTGAATAAAACGGGATCGCGGAATGGCGAAACAGGACTATATTTGAAAGAGCCAAAAGTATGTTGGCCGCATGTAATCTTCTCAGTTTTCTCTAGTGTGAAGCTATCAATACTGCTACGTTCATTGTGAACAGAAGCCCTACCGCAGCTAATTGCGGCACCACTCCTTACAAAAAATAGTATGCTAAAAAAAACCCGATGTAAGATTCCTTAGAACGTTTGTGTGCTTAGCTTTCATTCATACTCCAAAGACTCAGAGATGCAAACTAGAATAAAAAACACAGAAGTGTATACTCTTGGATTTCGACAAGCAAACCAAAGATTATCGACTGTTCGAACCAACAAAACAACAAATTCTGATTTCTAGGGACACTGCGTGTGGTGAAACTAAGCTGGGATTTCAGCACAACACAGCCAGAGCAGCCGAAGAACATGAATATACTGAAATCCAGAATACAGAAAAACAACATGTTGTAGAAAGACAACCCAATCAGTTACCAACAAAGGAAAATGGAGGATCAAAAACTCAATCAGTCTCGAATCGGCAACTTGATCAATCATCAACAGAAGAAACGGGTGCCAGACATCAAGACTTCAAAACAGGACACAAACTTGAACTAGACAACAGAATAGAAACAGAACCAAGTCATCACGTAGAAATCAAACGAGACAATGGCTCAGGAATTGATGACACTAGATCACAACAACGATATCCCACTAGAGAAAGACAACCAAATAGAAAACTGAAAGATTATTTCACTACTATGTCTGCAGAAAACAAGATTGAACCGCAGAGCTTTGAACAAGCAATTGAATAAGAGGAGTGGAAATCCGCCATATAGGAAGAAATAGAGTAACTAATAAAAAAACGGCACCTGACAAATTGTGGATCTGCCAGAAGTGAAAATAGCCGTCAGTTTGAAATGGATTTTCAAAATTAAAAGGAACAACAATGGAAAGACAAACAAACTAAAGGCAAGATTGGTAGCAAGGGGATTCGAATAAACACCAGGGGTAGACTATTTCGATACTTATGCTCCCGTGGTCAGGTGGAGCACAATAAGATCCATACTAACTACGGCAAAGACTTGGACACTAGGCGTCCCATTTCTAGACTCATCCATAAATTGGATGATGTACCAATAGATTGGTCTAGCAAAAGATAGTCCATTGTGGCTTTGAGCACAACAGAAGCCAAGTATCGTGTACTCTTGGAAGCTGCAAAGGATGCTATATATTTACAACAAATGATGTAAGTGCTGAAGTTGTGCGGCACTGAACCCTCTCTCATAGCGATAATTAAGGTTGCATCAAACTTGTGGATAATCCAATTCTACACTCCAAACCAAAACACCTAGAGATTCAGTTTCACTTTATTTAAAAAAAGAAGTGCGGCTGGAGATATCCTCATAGATCATATATCTACAACCAAACAACAGGCTAACATTATGACAAAACCACTGGAAATTGCTACACACTGCTGCTTACGGGAAGCAATCGGATTTCTACCTAAACCAAAACCAACTACACAATCATCTACAATTTCTCCATCAGAAACTTCTCAACCAATGCTTGGTTCTCAAAACACTTGAGCTTTACTCCCTTGAAACTCTCTACCTATAACCTACACTCCTGTGATTGATAGAATCCAAGGCGGTAACTAATTTGAATCGCATAGAATCTATCTAAACCTACCGACTCAAAAGTAAGAGCAAAATCTTGATGAAGCATGGAATCAAAAGGAGCATTTTCCACATTTCTATTCTTCAAAGAAATCTGGAGCAAGCATTCTGTGAAACCCAGAATCACAGAGAAAGCATTCGAGACAAATCAGTGGACTGCCAATATAATCAACTATCTCCCACTGAAGAATAATTAGTACAAGAACCACCAACAATATTAGCAAAATCAAAATAAAGCAATCGAGTCAGATTCTTACAGTGGACATCTCGTCAATTTCCTGCTGAAGGTGATCCATCACAAGTAAATTTCTCAAAAACAAATCTAAGAGACCATGGAGAGAGAGGGAGTATTGGAATATGCACTCCACGTTGTTTTAGCACCTTGATGACATTAGACTCTTAGTTCAATAGACAAACATATCACCTTTGTAAGTGGTCAGAGCTAGTGACTCTTGACTGACTGTTTGGAGTAACCTAAGAGTAACTTTCTTGTGTACTTAAGGTTATCTACATAACTCAATAAAGTGTGCAATAGATTTATTTAACAAAAGTGATGTAGTCTCCAACCAAAGTGTATTTTATTCTTACAAGGTGAAAATCATTCAAAGTTGATATGTTGGTGTTTATTATGGACCAAATGATGTGCAAGTGCTTGTATCATTGTTCAGTTAAGAAGATTTCTTGGACCACAATGCTTGTGTGAGATTTACATGGGTATAGAATGCAGGAGATATTTCTTCTATATTCTTTGACTTCCATATTGGTTTATTCTTCCTATTGTTGTGAGAGTTTGCTGCTCAATTTGCAACAACTTTTGCTTAGTTTTAGAAGCAATCAAATCTTTGATGTCCTATTTTTTGCAATATAGACATAGAGGTGTTGGTTTAGATTTGATTTTTGGATTCTTATGGTCTTTTGTAGGATATTTTGTAGGTAATCTTAGTTGTCACTTGCCTTTGTGTTCTACAAAGTGTGCTTGTCATTCCAAGCCTTTTATGGAGGTCTTGTCTTGAAGGAAAACTGCTATTAGTTTAGAGAGTGTTGCGATTCCCATAGTGTGCAAGGTTTGTATTATGGTGCCATATTATAATGGTATGGATCTCATAAGGGTGAATATTTCTATTTGTGATGGGATTATTACTCCTATAAATAACATTGTGGGAATAAAGTTTTGAAGTTGTGTAAAGGTTGCTTAACTAATTCACCTGCTTGTATCTTTTACTTTATGAATTTTTCTTATAGATGTATTTGAGTGACAATATCACTTGCTAAATATGTATTTTCTAGACCTAACCATGCTTCATTGGATGTTTTCCATGCTTTATTAAGTAAAAAGGTGGCATTGTTTATATGATCCCAAATGGTTGTAAGAGCAACATGATCTTTATTTTTCCATTTAAGTATTACAACTTGATTTATCATAGGTGTTTGAATTGTTGCATTTATTTTTGGGATAAATCTTGGTTTTTTTCTATACAAGAAACTAGATTCTACATTTCTTCTATTTCAAACTTTATTTATACCTTTTGTTTCCAGATGATGTACCAAGATCCATTGAATTTTGGCCAATCCTAGGTGGTGAGGCTATTTATAGCCATTTTTCAGGAAAGAGGTTTATTAGTACCTCAGTTTTGGTGTAGAACGACTTCAACATAACCTCTTCCTCTTGTGAGCTTGTCGTTTACTATTTTTTTTTGGAATTCTGAAGTTTTTAGAAACACACTCTAATACCATATTGGAATTACAGAGGCTCTGTAGTAAAACAATGTATAAATTCTTGCTACAATTCTTATTGCATAAAGCTGAGAATAAAGTTTATGCTGGCATATGGAGGTGCGACCAGAAGGGTCGCGACTTCTCGGCAGGGTGTGACTTTTACTGTAATTTCTTGTTATGACTACGGTTTGGTTTTAGTATTATTGTATTCCAATAGTATTGACAAAGAAATCACAGGTTTGCGTGAATTGAAATTTCTCAACGCTAGAATGAGTATGTGATGCAAAACACTTGGTTTAAAGAGGAGCTTGTCGACAATTGCATTTCTGAAGTTCACTCCCCCCCAGGAAAAGAAGAGACAATTCTAGCCTAAACAAATATGTTTTGTCTAAACAACTCTGAGTCCACCCACCTCTTGGCCTCTTCTTGAACAATCATGAAGGAGAATCTTCTCGGCTGTAAGTAAGTTTCTTAGCAACAAGATTAATAATAAAAGAAAGAGCTCTCGACGATTCCACTTAAAATATTTATAAGATACACAAATTTTCGAAAGCAAAATTTTGTTCAAATTCTGCAATCGCTTCTGTTCTCACGATGACACCGGCTGGAACATCGTTGAAAACAATTGCTGCATCTAGGACAATTGTTCACATACCAATGACAAACATCATGTTAGACATTCATTTTCATGAGTAAACCATATGCTGCGTTTCTGCTCAAAGACAATCAGTGGAACTACAAAACATTCACGATAACAATATACAACTAGTTACAGCACAACACGTGGCTATAAAAAAATATCGAAATTGCCACCAGAGATCTCATGTCCGTCTTGCTTGACTACTCAACAACCATTCCTGTGAAATTCCTTCATCATCACCAACTCTGTCCAGTCAGGCCATAGACCTTAAAACGTAAGATGTAAACAGCTCCACAATAAATCAAATACGTCCCCAACCAAAATTGAATCCATTCTACAATCTAAAATTCCGAATTCTCGACCGACGTGGTGCGCATATCTCAAGCCGATCCCGGATCCTGCAACCGCCAATGCCTATACTTGGCGTTGCGCAGCTAATACTCGAAAGATCCATCCCCAGACGAATGCGTGGACTCCGATCATCTTCACACAAACCGGAGAATGCTCGCATCGCAAACTTATGAACTCTTTTGCTGCGGCATGAGGAATGCTGGTGTGATGACACCTACAAGATGCTAGTGTACGCGACGAGCTCGACGTCTGCGACTGGAGTTGTGGTTCGATAAAGAATTGCGTTCTCGTTTACTGGCTGTCAATGTTACAAGTGGGTGCAAGTCTTCTTGCGAATTTGCCAAACTCTGGCATGACTTACTTCTCAAAGCCTACTACACATCAACTAATCGATACAAATCAAAGTCTTGTACAAATCGACACATAGAGGAGCTCATTGTGCAGTCTGGGTGGGCACGGATCCCTGGGTCCCCGAAGCCTGAATTCCAGAGATTTGGGTGCTGGTGGCGTCCTGGAGTTCAGGGATGGCTCCACTTCCGGCTCTGCAAAACGATTTCAGAGAGCAAGGTTAGAAAACTGTGGCTTCGGCTTTTGGGAGATTGCTATTGCTGCATTGTCTGTGTAGACTCCACCGCACGTAATTAGAAATCACAAGCACGGTCAGGAGGCTTACTTCTGGGAGAAGCGGTCTTCATCCTCCTTGGCTACGCCGTTGCCGAGACCCCTCTCCGGGCCGAATCGCTGAGGAGAATCGTTCTTGATAAAATCATCTGCAGCTTGCAGCAGTTCGTCGGCTTTGCGAGCCGTGCGCTCGGCTCCGTCGGCTCCAGGGCCTGAAGCGGCGAGGGCAGATCCAGCCAGGGTGACGGCCAGACCCGCTGCCAGAGCGGAGCCCAGAACCACCTTGGCGAAGCAGGGCTGCTCGTCCTGCACTCATTCAAATGCCGCACTTCATGGTTCAGGAACGGATGCAGTGTGCAGTTTGATTCTTAGCGGAGTGGGAATCGAATTCCATCACACGCTTGTGCCACTGCTTTTGGGAAAACGATTCAACGAGAAACTAAATGGTTACAATTTAGGGACAAACCGCATTGCTCGCTTCATTTACCTCGGAATAGTTGGCCTTCACGGCCACGACGCGGCTCCGACTCGCAGTCGCGTTGCGAACAGGAGCAAACGAGACCTGTCGATCACCCAAAGCTGCAGAGGAGGACAGCTCGGTGGCGCGTGAGGGAGCCGAGACCACGGATCCGGACATCATCGCTGATGCTGCGGCCATTGTGGAAGGATTTCACGAGTGCTCTGAGATACGGACTCAATGAACTTCCGGGAGGCAAGCAAGGAAACAGCGCAGAAGTGTAAATGGAATGTAGTCGAACTCTTGCAAGGCCAGAAGAGCGTAGTGGCACTTGATATGAAGCTGTAGGACAGTGCATTCTTATACAATTGCAACCAAAACTGCGAGACAAATCTTGTGATCTTAAATCGCTGGAAAGTTGCAGGTTCTTGACCCAATGGTCAAAACCCACGTATCCGTCGCTTTTATACTAGGGTGCTCAGGAGTGCCACTTGGCGCCATTTGCTGTTCGTCGGACGAACGGTGGATTGGTTAGGCCGGGCTCGTCTTGTGCTTCTGTTCGGACCTTAGACGGAGGAACCTTACAACATTCCCTCAACCCCCCAAAAGACTGAAAGGTCTGGAGTCCGATTGATGCGGAGTACGCCACAAGCCTGGGTGGATGCATGTGATGACACGCGGAAAAGTCGTTTCAATAATGTTTTTGGGACTATAGCAAATTGCGTTGCACATTTTTTATATTTCTTCGTATTTTCAATCTCGTGTCATGTTTATTTTCATTTAGTGTTGTGTGAGTAGAACTCTATCCTGATCAAATATATGTTGGATCCCGAATTTTGGGATGGTTGTTTGGGAGACTCAATTCGGGGATTTTTCTCGGGGTTTTGCTTCTCTGGCTCTTAATTGTCCGACGGTTGTGATTCACTTGGGTCTAGTTTCTGGGGCTTCGCACTGCCAGCATTGAAGATGGCTTTGTGGCAGTGATTACATGCACAGTGACGGAATTATATTCCTGACTCAGAGTGGAGAAAGACTGTCTTCGGGGATCCATTGTAGTATTGCGTTGCTTTTTGTGATTCTCTTTCTGGGTGCGCTCGTGAATGTGTCTTTTTGAGTTGCTGAAGGCCATTTTGAGTTAATGGCAGTTTGCCCACTGCAGAGATGTTTAGGATTTGGAATCTTTCTTACTGGAACTAGGATCGAACCGTGCACGTGGTCTAATTTCTGAGTAGCTACTTCATTGAAAGTCGTGCAACTGAAATGATAATTACCTCATGCTGTGCAAGTTTTAGAAACTTTGATCCAGGGTGATAGTCAACTTCAACGATAAGTTGATTTGGGAAATTGAAATACCATTTTAAAGGAGTGTTTGAATAGTTTCATAAATGCAGGTTCCGTGTTGTAGATCGTACATAGAGTATGTGGAAATTGATCCTTCATGTGGACGAAGTGATGCATGGAAGAAAGCCTGGAGTGTTTTTCTTAAAGTGTGATGGAGAGGAGTTATTTTATCGATTTGAAGTCATTGAAATACCCACCAGGTGTGCCTTGATAATTCTGTACACTTTGAATTAATAATACGACCAACAGCAAATGCATCTCAAATCAATTTATGGCAAATCGATAACTGTCTGATCAACGCATTGTAATGCACTGGTTGCAATGGTTAATTGTGATGGTTAACGTAGTTTAGATCAATATGACTGTCTGGTTTCCCTGCTTGGATGGATCTTTGGAGGCTTAAAGTTCCTGGATCTTACCAACTTGATGAGATTTTAAAGGACCGAAACCTACCAACATCAACTGGGATTTTTACAATATTAAACTGGGCCCTTCCATTGTGAAAGTCTTCGCAGAATTCATCAGCTGTGAGTTCCTAAGATGCCTTTATATGCAGCTTTGTTTTTTGTCATTGTTAAATCGTTAGTGAATTGTCTAATCTGAAAAGTGCTCTAGTGATTCAGAAGAGAAAAGTCTAGTTAGAAGTTCCAAGCAAGGCCGGTGCATCTAATTGATGTGGGATTGCAACTCTTGAGAAGGAGGTGCCGGAGTAAAAGGATGAGCACACTGCAAACTATCAGGCCAAGCACTAAGCATTGGTAAGCATTCGCATTGTTTGACCAAAACAGTGATGCCCTATTTCAGACTGCCTGCGCAGTTTTTTGGAGTCAAAGGATTTATGTACTGGGTTCGTTCTTAAGAGGCATCTTATGATATCGTCTTTTATGTGCCATTCCCTGTTTTGAATGACTTGAACCCATCTACTATTCGAACTAATAGATAAGGCTGGCGAATTGAACAAGCCTAGCCTCTGTCCAATTTAGCAGTTACCGCCTCCTGCTAGAAATGTGTAACGAGAATAGACGCGGTTTCGTTTGTAGATAAATATAATTTATGATAACACTGGATTATTAGAGTGCATTGCAGCTGTGTTGTCTCCGAGTGCACGGCAATATTGAACTCGTTCATGCTCCCAAATGTGATGATCTTTTGCCGAACAATCCTGGACCCAACCTGACATCACCAATATCCCCATCGTTCAGTGTGAAAGAAATACTTTTACTTTGCCAAAGACGACCTTTGTGCCCAGGCCTAGGGATGTCATTACTTTCTCTAAGAAATTTCAGGCATGCTGAGTGAATGTTTTGCCGTTCTTCAGAAAACATTATTTATATGCTTTGCACTTCTTATAAATGTATGCAAGAATGTGCTACTATTTAAATGCATAAATGACCTAGATGAGTTGCATGTACATGATTGAGAATATGCACTTATGACCCACATGCAACATCTATTGTTAGTTAAGCCAATAGATTTACGTGAAACATACACTTACAAGATACACATTTTGATTATACTGAGATAACGACCAAATTTTATCTGTAATTAATTCTTGTATTCCAACCCTCGCGACTTTATATCCTTCAATTATTTATAAGTGGTCATGTTTGTAATAAATTATGCCATAATAAAAAATTAAAGGTAACCTGCTGTTTGCAGTTTCTTCCAAATTTGAGGTTTCACAAATCGATCCGTCAATTTAACAAGATTAGGAATTCATATATAATTCATGTAATAAATTTTCTTTCAAAAATGTATTTCGTCACTACATGTAATAAGATAACGTATCATACAAAACTTTTGTTGAACACGACACTGAGAGACAAACAGCTGAAAAAATAAAAAACTTAACAATGTATTAAAATACTACACGATTGCTCCTGCAAGTCGGTTCTATTGATGCTACTTTTCAAAGTGCACCACGTGACTGACAAGGCTTCTTTGTTTCACAAGATATCCATTCGCAGAGTGAATAGGGTTGGTGTAATGAAAAGTGTCATGCTCAGAAACCCTCACAGAAGCAAAGACATGTAAGGTTTCACCCGCGTCAGCATGCCCACCTGAGAAAGAGAAAAGAGCAGTGGAGTGGATGTAGACAATAATAATGCACACCCCAGTACCAATGTTCTATGCGATTCCCCACCAAAAAATCGTTTGGAAATGCGAAAGCAGAGCACCATAGCCAAATAGGCAAAAAGAAGTAAAAGCTCTCTGATTAGCAGCAAGAGCAGCATATAAATTCGCGGCACACAAGTAGGAATGGAGCAACGTAGTGTTGATCCCTGCAGAGTCGCCACGGGTCTTCAAAAAACATTGCTGCAGGTAAATGTAGACGAGGAGATGCCGCATAATCCGCTAATTACAAGAGTTCAGAAGATTAGCGCAAGGCAATCTCACTTCTCCGCGAGAATGAGTTGCCAATCTACAGAAGGCTTCAAGCGGCCTTTACAGAGGTGGAAACTCCAGCTGCCTGCATCTGCTTCAACGTCGTGGCCAGCCAATCCAGCCCCTCGTATAATCCTTCACCTTTGGGAGCACAAGTGCCTTGGATTTGCCATCTTCGATTTTTCAGGCCAAAGAGCCCGAATCTTTCACAGACCTCTGCAGTGCCCAAAGCTCCATTCTGCGCTCAATATGCACCAGCAACAAAGTAAGAACTTACATGATAGTTGTGAAGCAGTATTTGGAGGGAAATTTTGTTTAAAGAAACACCAAATTCATTGAACATCGAACGCAAGCATATGAACTCGACGACAGTAGATGGAATAGCATCACCGATGCATCTATTTCATAAACATTCGGTAGCATCAATTCTACTCAGAATGGGCACTACCATGTCTTGTTTGTTTGCAAACACAAGAATTGCGCTGTTCCTCATCAGTGGATCGTTTATGATTTGCTGCAACACAAATTGAAGCACGCACAATAGAGTCACTGTTTTAATATGTAAAATGCGTATTGAACAAGCTGTTGCTCTCAAGAGATACGCGTTGCGAGAGAAGTGATTGATACACTAAGATAAATTTCCAGACAAATTTCGAACTAGAAGGAAATGCACAATCACAAGCGATTGCTTTCTTTCACGTTCGCACACGTTGTGAAAGAATCACTCAGTCAGGCCAAGAAGAAAACCAGCGTGAGAAAGTAGTACCTGAAACTCGCTCGCTGCCTTGTCGATTCGTTCTCTATCACATGAATCGACAACGTAAATCTGTAAGTGCCAGCAAAACTCACACCCATAAGAAACTTCTAGTCCCTTCAGCTATTTCCGGAAAGCGCTCAATTAGCTTTGAAGTAACAAGAAACTCATAGATCTTGAAATACGCACCTGCCGTATTTCAGTACAGACATCACACACAACTGCAACGTCATGTTCAGCGACAGTATGACGATGCAGATAAATATCAAGCAACCTCAAATGGCGTGGATCCCACATCCAATAGATTGTAAAATACATTGACTTAACCAAAACGCAGAGAAGTTCACAACTGATTGGCAAAATCTAGTGTCATGATTTTTCCATGTTGACATGTAAGGACACAGAGTGTGTGCTTAATATCGGCATCAATAAAAATGTATCACGATGTATTCTCCTTCTCAGTATCAATAAAGATGATACTGCTTGTAAGGGAATATCAAGTGAAGAGAATTTACCAAACCGTCAGTGTTGTTGAAGTAATGCCGCCACAGAGGTCGCAATTTCTCTTGGCCTCCAACGTCCCACACTGTAAACTCAACATTCTTGTATTGAACTTTCTCTACATTGAACCCTGAAAATTGAATGGAAAATGTAATTTAGCAACAGATGTTACCCTCAAAAACACTCACATGCACTTGGCAGGAAATACGGTTGCAACATTGTATAAAACAACAGTGCCATCTATACTCAGAAACGAAGAGGCGCACTACCAAAAAAATGAAGGATTGACTACAAGTGATAAGTCAAATTACCGATGGTGGGGACTGTGGACAAAATCTCTCCAATATGCAGCTTATAGAGAATGGTGGTTTTGCCTGCCGCGTCCAATCCAAGCATCACCACCTATCAGATACATGAGATGCACAGCACATCATTACCCGCATGAATTTCTATAGTTAAAATAAAGCAATTCTCTCAGTAGCCAGGCTGAAAGTGATGAAAGAGTCCAGATAAACCGCATTATCCAATGTTAGAATAAAATGATAGCAGTGTGGGAAGAGTGTAGAATTTAAAAGAAAAGAGATTTAGACGGTAAATTATACAGGGAACTAGGTTATGACTTACTAAGCAATCTTCACCCTTCTAAAACTGAACGCAAAGTACATCAACATACAAATAAGGAGGAATTAAAGTGATAATTAGTTCTTCGCACTCAGTAATCAGGACTTCTAAAACTCGGCACAATCGATGACAATTCTCGATGCTCGAATTCAGACTAGAAGTTGATCAGAGAACAAATCTCGAATTAATTCTCAAAACGCGAGAGGGAAAAAATACAGAAACTAAAGGAGGTAAAATAGATGCACAGGAAATGGAAGTACAAACAATTAAGGTGCCATGAGAAAATTATGAAACTCCAGGTTCAATCTGAGCCCTCTCCAATTCTTTGGTCAAGTCACCAAAAGACGACTTATTGTAACTTTTGATCAATAAGTGATAGGTAGCATGGCAGAAAAATTGTAGCAGGGATAAACTAGTCTACAAATTCTCCAATTTCATGGATCATTTGTTTTCTGACATCCACCAACTGCAAAAAGAACAAAATAATGGTTAATCGAGTTCTCTGCTAATTAATAGAATATCAAACCCGATCTGATCTAAATCACAAAATTCAACGACAGTACGTGTTCTGCAATCCTCATAGTGGAAGTGCAAAAGTCATAGACTGGTGGGATCACTATGAGTCTCAAGTGGCTGTACAAAATTCCTGCTGAGCTGTGAATCGTCATTCAAACACAAAACAGGCTCCAAAAACTGCATAAAAATATGAACAATGAGCCTACTACGCAACCACCATTTGATGTCTGATGCGTGTGTAACCACTTTTTGTACTTGCACTCCCTTTCCATGGATATGTGTGAAAGTTAGTTTCAACCAAAACAACTTTTCTTCACTTTAACCGGTGCAATCCAAACCCAGCATTCACAAATGACGCACAAATCCCTAGACTTCTCCACAGAAATGACCACTTCTCCCTGCGGGACACAAATGCATTCGCAAATTGCGAGAGCCCCTTCGGAAATCCATTTCAATCCGTAAAGAAGAGCTGATTTGCAGTTAACAGCCACGAGCACTATTCTGAATCCTTCTAGGCTGATCACCGCCACTTGTCAAGATACGAAGACGCACTCTAAAAATGTAGATCTAATTGCACAAGATTTTCGCGGTAACATGCCCTTGACGATAACATCCCTTCAAGAAAATCCCAATCCGAACAAAACAACGAGTCCAAAAGGGAAATGGTATTCCCTCGAATATCTTTAGACTCTACCGTGGGAGAAACAAGGCAAACCTATTAGGCGAAACAACAAATAGAGACGCAAGTTTATCGCAAACAGTCACGATGACATAAAGTTGCACGATAATGACGGATATTGGCGTACCCGCATCTCCTTGTTGCCGAAGATAGAATCAAAGAGCTTGCGGAAGGTATTCCCCATAGCTTCAAGCTCACCTTAACCTAGCAATCCCTACTCTGGACTGCCCAGAGAATACGCTTCCAAAGCAGCAAATCTCAACTCAAAATCCTCAACTCAGAAATGGTGAGATGAAAGCAATAGAGAAAAACCCGGAGGGAAGAGATAGCGATGAGGAGCCATGACTAATGATATGTGAGTGATAATAAAACAGAACAACCTCACTCGTCGCTCAAACAATCCCACACTTGCGCGTAAAATCCTGTGGAGAAGACCAAGAAGAAGGCCGAGAGGACGATAGACAAAACAAAACTCCACGCTCCTTGGAAAATATTGACGCGTTCCAAGAGTCTACCGCTGTTGCTACGGTACAATGCTTCAGACCAAATGTTTCGCTACTAATAATAAACTCTAGTCTCTTGTGATGGAAGTCCTCCTTTCTAGCTTCTACACGCACTATATCTGGTCTGCCCAATTCTGCATCAGTGCTTCTCCACACGAAGGACGCTCGATGTTGGTTGATCTGAACAACACCATTATGGATATGAAGTGCGAGGAGGGGAAGCGGGTGAGAGTGGGTTTGTTGATTGATAACTATGGTGAGAGCTTCTTTGCAAGGCAAGGTCGGCGCACTTTCATCACTCCTTCGATAACTGCGTTACTCTATAGAACCCTTGCAATGTTTGCTGGGCTACCCTATCATTTTGAGTCGCGTTGCCAGCGTATACTAGGCTGTCAAAAGCACCCACACTATATGATTGTCCCGAACTGATCAGTCAATTATTGGTAGTTTTAGTATCACATATGCTGGAAAATATTTTGAACCATTATTTTTTATATTTTTTAAGTGAAAAACTTCATCTGAATGAACGGTGAACGTACTCGATAACTTAACGTTTCTGGACCTTCGTTTTAAAGCACGATTTCAACAAAGTAAGCACTCATATGTGTAGAAATTGTGTTTGATGAGAGGAAACATCAAATAATTGACTTATTACCTTACTATTGAATCAACAGAGGCAAAAAAAAAAATTCCTTCAGTCGTCCTTGTTTCGTAATACTGGGCGGCGGGTGATAAATTTGACAAACCTGCCCCCACAAACTTGAGATAATAGTTGAACGGTCACTGCCCACACGAAAGAATCCATTCGCCTTGCATTGAAATTCCTGGGCGAGGGTGACACAACAACAGCTTCACTCTTCACGTCGGAAGGTTTCCTACTTTAGATATCATTTTATTGCATGAAAGACGAAGAATCTATGCACTGCGAAGTTTTGCTAATATTAGCCAACTGCTGCCCTTCCAAACCGCTACTAGATTGAGTTGAGAAACTGTTCTTGGCATCGGCACCCTATGTTCTCTATTTCAAAAAGACGTGAAATACTGATGTTAGACCAGCCACATGTTGCCAATTCCACCAAACTTATTAGAAACATGTCAACCATTGAACAGTCTTTATTTTGAGAAGTAGATTCGAATGGCGTTGAGGGTCCGAATTTCATTTGGATTGGTGTGTCCTGGCAAGATCTGCAAACTCTTGCCTTCACAAAAGTTTTAAAAAAAACATTAAAAAAAAAAAAAAAAAAAAACTGCAAAGACAAACAATTTGGAACAAGGAATTTGCAATCATGGGACTTTTTCTTAACTCATCTGACTAGATCGAAGAGGTCCATGGATAGCATCTAACTGGATGCAGTTTACCTGATCTGGATTGCGGAGTTGTGAGGGTCAAATTCTTGCCAGAAGCTTCCAAAGTCTCCATTTAAATCCCACCGACAATGTTCAATCTGGGAATTAATGAACTTTACAACCTACAATTTTCAAGGTATTGATACACATACACTGGACTCATTCTAAGCACTATGTGGAACAGTTCGGGGGCTTGCAGGTGGCTATTGGTGAACGTGTACCCCAGTTGAACAATTGATTCAGCTGCTTCTTGACTGCCTTGTTGACGTTCCTATTTTCACCATCACCACACCTGGCACGATCAACTGCTACTTTGAAGTCGTTCAAAGGAACTATTGAACGACATGCTTGCGCCACAAATTCGAAATAAGTCAAAACCAAAGGAAATCACCTTCAACAATAGGCAATCCAATACCCTCCACAGATCTGACCCAAAATTCACACAGTAGTTAATACAGTATGCGATTTCCTAACCATGAACACACTCAAAATATAAGGAATGAGATGAACCTTTTTGTGCAGCTAGAAGAGCACCTTCATTGACTACATTTGTAAGATCAGTACCCACGAAAACTGGTGTGAGTTTAGCCTTCACCACATGTAAGGTGGCTGCGTCCACTTCCACAGGCGTTAAACTCGATCCTACGTCATGTGCAACTTAGAACATGAAATTGAAATAAAAAGCATGTTATTCTGGGAAAAAGAAAAAGTGGGTAGACAAATTTATTGTGATCAATCAACTGACTAGATAATGACACAAAGGAATTGTGTTGTTGAGGAAGAAAAATATCAACTACTATAGTAACAAACTAAAGGTGTAATACAATTGGAAGGTTTAATGCTTAGCAATATCAGGTACATTACAATTAGAAGCTAAACTCTTAGTGACATTCTTCCTTTCTGCAAACCTGTAAGTGTGCCGTGAGACTTTCTTTTATCATGTGATGGAACCTTCACCATGAACCAAAACTTATCACTAAGTTTGTAGAAGCAGTCTAAACAATCTAAACACAATGGAAGTTCATTACCTGGTTAAGTGTTCAATTTCTTTCCTTGTTAGCACTACAAACTCGGCAATCTCTTACAACATCCAACTCATGAGTGAACACAATTGAAGGTGGTTTCTCCTTGGCCTCTGCAAATAATTAAAGCTTCTTCTGTAATGCATCCATTCATGTCTTCGGAGAGCTTAACACTCTGTTGGAGCAACTTCTCTATCTTCTTGCAGCAAGACAATCAGAAGATGAATACGGTATACGGATACAAATTCTCAAGACTTTCGACAAAAGCATATTTGACAGATCTCTAATCCATAAAGAGAAAAAAAATTGAGCATGATAAATACGTGCGCATTGCATCTTTGCAATCCAATGTAACCATAACCGCTACCCAACTTCAGACTCTTCACAATGTAGCGAAGAACCCATGTAACATGAGGTTAAAAATAGTAACGATGAAATTCCATAAAAATATAGAAACTTCACGTAATAATAACCGCATCAAGATAAAGAACATATTATTTAACCTTTGCTACTCTTTACTAAACTCGCCGATTTAGAAGTGTTACTCAGACACAGCCTGAACGAATTTTTCAACATTTATGATAAGGACCGAGTAGTATATTCAATAAGTATCATAAAATTATGTATGAAAGCCAATGGCAATATAAAGAGAAAATCAACACAATGACGCATTATACTTGGAAAATGAAAGGAGTTTAAGACATAAAGCTTGGACACTCCTTATCCAAGTCTTTGCAAATCCAATGATACCCACCTCAAAGGAACTCTCATTCTTACTCCTCAATCTCAATTAAAGAGAGAGTCTCTACGACGTTTGTGATGGATTTACGACACAACGATGCGACGAAACAAAGGAGGAACAGCATCAACAGGAGCCTCGGAGAGGACCTTGCAGACCATCATCGCCGCAGCGCCACCACTGTCCATTTCATGCTCATGGTCTCGGGCTTGGTTTTGGGCATGGGGTTGGTCTTGGGACCGGTCTTGGTCTTGGGTCTGGTCTTGGTCTTAGGCGCGGATTTGGGCATGGAGTTGTGAGATTTTAAATCATTTTTATTTTCTCTTTGCTATGTTAGTTTGGTCATTTTTTCGTGTACTTTCATTGTTATAAAAAACTTGTTTTTCACATAATTTCTAGAAAAATTTGTTTTGGTGTATGCAAATTATTGAAATTTTCCATGTATGGTTTTATGTTGATTTTTGCATACATACTTTAAAATTTTATTGATGAAAATATATATATATATATATATATATATATATATATTATACTATGGATTGTAAATAAATAAATAAATATTTTATATTTTTTTACCAAATAAAAAAATAAAAAACGTTTTGTGATTAATTTTTTTTTACTAAAGTAGAAAACTGAGTGATTTAAAAAATCATATTATAATTAAATTTATTAATCTTGTTACCAAACATTAGAAATTTTTATTGATTGTTGTTTCTACACATGTAACACACATGCAAATATATTCTCAACTTGTATTTTATCAACCAACTCTAAGTTTTTAACATTCTTAGTCAATTCAAAATTTTACTCATCCTTAGAATCTTGAAATGATACTATCTTGTGTTATGTTCTAAAACAAACCAAGTAATATTATTTTCACTATTTTTCATCCATTGTAATTCTACAATCCCCTTTGTTAATTCATCTTGCATTTTATCTTTTAAGATGGTGACAAATTATTATTGTGAAATAGAGGTGCACAACACTTCAACAACACTTGTCACAGTCTATTTTATTCCAAACCAACTCTCAGCCATTCATAAGACACATGAGTAGCCAACTAGGTGTGGTTCAACTCCCTTATTGCCCTGGGAACGCTGGTCAAAGGTCGTTGACCTTCTGTTCGCAACGCAAAAGTATGTGCCCCGAGCGTTCCCACCACGAGTTCCCGGCGACCTATATCCGGGCCGGGACTGGTGGCTGGATCTTGCGCCGTATCGGAGAGCAAATGCAATTCGTGATGGATCACCTTATCTTCGAGTATGCCGCGGATTCGGAGGAATTTGCTTTTTGTTGCACACTGGCACTTCCCTCATCGCCAAAGCTGTGCAGCGCACTCACTCACTCGCGAGGAGGCCAGGAGGTGTGTGTGTTTGTGTGTGTGTGTGTGTGTTTTTGTGTGGAGTGTGAAAGAACCCCAGATTAGCAGCACTATGGCGTGCGCAAGTGCAGCAGCTGTGGCCGCAGCTTCTTCTGCCCTGCAGGTTTGCGAAGCCGGCTCCCGGTCGAGCCCCAGTAACGCGTCGCTGAAAGCCTCTGTCGGGCGTGTGAGATGCCCACCACGAGCTCTCTCGCTCGACGAGTCTTTGAAGAAGGTGCGCGCTCCGCTTCCTTGTTTAGACTTCCTCTCGGTTTTTGCTTCTCGGGATGTTTGCGAATGCCTTTGAAGTGTCTTGCATTCTGAGCCTGGTCGTACTCGATTGTCTCTGTGTGATGTGCCCTTTCTCATTCCAATGTACTGTCTTCCTCTTCTTCCATAAAACAATATTTTATACGAGCATTGTAATTTTGCGTTTGTCGTGGGAACGTTCCTGGTTCATTCAAATTCTCCGGTTAATGAGTAATGAGTAGTGTTTTTCAAACTGAGATTTTATTTATTTTATATTTGTTTAAAGCAATGCCTCGGCGACGAGATGTGTTGACTATTTTTGCAGAGGCAGTCGTCTAGGTCAATGCATGTCTCTGAATCTTGAGAATCGATGATGCAGGCTCATCACTTTAGAATGCTTTCTTCTCATTTGAACGCTCATCATGCAGGTTCAGCTTTTCGGGGAGAAGCAGAGAGGATTCGAGGCTGTGAGGAGAATCCAGCCAATTCGGGCGCAAGCTGTGGAGAATGAGCTTGCTTCGTACGTGCTCCCTTGTGCATTCTCTTCAGGCATTCTTAGTCATTATTCACGTGGTATTCAATTTGAAGGAATGCGCCGTTGATTGTTATCAATTTTACGCTACAAGGTCTAGCCCTGGGACAAAATATTAGTTTATTGTAATTCTAATGTCTTTACTCTGTGGGCGTTGCAGTAAGGATACTTCAGACTCTGTTACTTCCCAGGTTGGTTTTCTTCTTGCTAATACTGAATTTAGCGTGTCTTAGGGAAAGTGGACAGCCTTGGATTTTTTTAGACGAGTGCAACTGCATCAATAGCAATCATGTAATGCAGGTTGACTTACACATTGTACGAAGATTTTAGCGTCCATAGACCTAAGACTGCTACCCTATTTAATGTAGGTGTGGAGAAGGTTACGCAATGGAAAGAACAGTTGGCTTCTTCTTAGAAAATCTCGATCACGTGGATTGATGAAATCCGTGACTTTAGTTTCCCCTCCTTCAATCTACTCACACTTGTCCTTCCTTGCTGCAGAAGACTACCTATTACTACTTGATCGCGAACGCCAAGTTTATGTTGGACGATGAAGAGCACTTCCAAGAGCAAATGAGTGAGAAGCTTCGCATGTATGGGGAGCGCAACAAGGAGCAGGATTTCTGGATGGTCATTGAGCCTGAGTTCCTCGACAAGCACCCGGAGGTTGCTAAGCGAGTGGGAAGGCCGGCTGCTGCACTTGTGTCAACTGACAGAGTTTGGATCACGTAAGTCTCCTCTTGACCAGCGGGTGCTTGCAGAATCATGAATGTACTTATCGCTGTACATATGGCGGTGTTGTTTTGAATGATATTCTGTAACCGAGTACCTGAATTATCATTTTCTATCCTTTTATCTTTTTTTTCTTCATGATTTAATTGTCAGTAACCAGGTGTAGCCGGAAAACCTGATCCTGCATAGAATCAAGTTTGCCTAATGTGCGTGGACGGAATGATTTCAGGTTCATGAAGCTGAGATTGGACAGAGTACTGAAAGGGGAAATTACTACGGATTCCCCCGAGGAGGCATTGGCAGGCAAGCTTACCACCGTGGAGTTTGAGAGACCAGCCAAGTGGATTGCCCCTTATCCGAAATATGAGGGTGATTGGTGGACTCCTTTCTTGTACAAGAAGGACTAGAACAGTCGTCATTGCCAATACTCAACATTTTGCACTTTATTTTAAGTGAAACTATACAGCTGAAGACTTGGAGGACTCAGAATTTCATGTAGTTGCCTGAAGATAGAGCTAGTTCATCGTGCTCTTATGTCTAGGAACTCGTCAGCCTAGTGAGCAAGGGTGTGAGGACGAGTGCGAGAGTTGATGGTAACGAGGCAAAGGTGGTGGAGTAGCACGTAAAAGAGGTTTATGGTTAGAAAATTATGGGTCTTTGATGTCGAAGATTATGAGGTTTTGGCTTATTAGCGTTTCTTTTGAATTAGATATCAGTTTAGCTAAGTGCCAACTGGGAGAAAAAGTCTTAAATGGATTGTATATGGGAGCATTTTTCTGCACCTCTATCTTTAATTCACTCCCTTATCACTCCAGATTTTAGTTATTGATTCATTAAAAACTGTGCGAGGAATCGAATTGCTTTCCGAAGCAACCATCTTTCCACTTCGACAAGAGAGAGGGTTTTATCACTTAGCCTTCGCGTCTCTCAGGCAGGAGCTATGCTTTGCAACCATGAAAAGCTGTTGCCTTCCTTTTCTATTGATTTAGGTCACTTGTTTTCCTCAGTAACGCTTAAAAGTCTTTCTAAGATTCATAAGGTGTTGTCTATTTTGAAGAAACCCGCAACCTTAAACGATTCATTGTTGATGTTGTAGAAACAGATTATCAATATTGCTTTCTCATTTACATATGAAGTGTGCAGTTTGTCAGGAAAATGCCACCCAATAATGATTGAGCCATTTTGCAGTTTTACTACCAACCTATTTGGAAACGAACATTCTTGTAACATGTTATTTGTACAAATTGCTATGTGGTGCAGTGTGCTACCTGTATGTATCTTATCGTTGCTTAAATAAATGATCGTGCATATTTCAATTGCAATAAATGGATCATTCTAATTTAGATAATTTCTCAAATTTGCATTGTTTCAAACCAGTGTGATGTGTCCTTGAGACTTTGACCTTTTATGTGATTCCAAAATGCACATCAGAAGGAAAACAAAAAAATTATGTATGTAAATTCATTAAAAAAACTAGAATTACAATAATATCAACTGCCATTGGTGTGATTTGGAGGAATATATTTGCTTGCAACTTATACATTTTTAATAATGTATTTAGGTAATTTTTGTTAAATACCATTTGAGTACTTCTGTTTATTGTAGTTGTAATTACATGCTTTATATCATAAAAGAGATTACAAGTAGAAAAAAAAAAAATAATAATAATAAAAATCAGTATCCTATCATAAATCATAATAGCTTCAAATTCCTATCTTATTAAAATTCCTGTAGTAAGTTGAAATTCTTTCAAAAAGCTGTAATACATATTTTGGCAATCTCAATATACAATGTACTACTTATTTACAACTTTTCATTGAAATTGACAACCTTTCTTTGTTGAAGTTCTAAATTTATTTACTCTTAGATCAAAGAGAATACATAACATTCTTTTATTGAGTTGATTAGGTTTATTTAGTCTTAGATCAAAGAAAACATATGATTTTTGTTATTGAATTAATTTGGTTATACCACAAAGTTAAGCATTAGTACACATAAACATAAAGATGCTATATTGAATAGCTTGCATCACACCTTAGTTATATTATATCTATTCTTGAGCACCAACCAATAAATATTGACTATAAAAAATATTATAAAATTATTTGATTCTAATATAACTAAAGTCTTTATAAATATAAAATATTATTTATTTAATTATTTTTATCTATAATGGTTATTAAACCATTTTTTTCTTACTTTATATTTTTAAAATATTTAAATAAATTTTAATTGAAATATTTTAGTTTATTATAAAACATCATTTTATTCTTTAGAGATTATACAATATATTAATTCTTTGATTTTAATATACTTTAAAATAACTTTAAGTTTAAAGTTATTATTTATATTCTTATTATTATTTATTTATTTATTAACACCTTTATTTAAAGTTGTACTCTTTAAAAGAACAAGAACTTGAGAAATGTACTTACATAAGTGAAATATGTCTCAAAGAAAGGTGACATAAAAGAAATGAAAAAAATATGTATATCCAAGAAGAAGCTAGAATGGTTATTGTTAAAGATAAAAAAAACTATGGATTTTTGAAACTAGACTAAAAGTGAAAAAAGAAGTTGATAAGAGTGAGGACATTGGACTCATGTACAAGTCAAGAAAGGATTGTGGAGAGTATTAATAGCTATGAAGAGTAAGAAGGATTATTTGATAGGTGCAATGGTGGTTGTGGAGACAAATTGACTACCTCTATTAGGGATGATTACAAGTTGTTTTACTTTGGACATTGCTATATTGAGGTAAATAGCATATATTAAATCTATAAATCTAGAATTTAAACATATTGAAAAAAAGACAATGTGATTTTGGATATGTTGTTAGGAGAAAGATATGACAATAAAGGTAACATAATTGACAATGAAGAAGATGTAGGTACTAACTTTTATTCTACTATTTTGGCAAGAAAAGAAAGCTTATGTTTGGTTACATTACTTGAGTTGTTTTTAGAAGAATTATAGAGAGACTGATTACATATTGAAATGTACTTGAATGTATTGGAGAAGTAAGAAGATTAGAAAAATTAAGAATTTAAGAGGATTTGATGGAAAGTATATGATTATTTTCTTTAAGACAATTTTTTATGAAAACATCCAAAACAAAGAAGTAAAGTACTACAATAAGTTGTATGTGGCTTTGAAATCCAACAAAAGATCATCAAAGGATTCTATAAAAATATGAAGGACAAGAATTCAAAAAATATATATAAATAAGTAGAATATGTATCAAAGATAGATGAAAAAATAGAAATAAGAAAGTATGTATATTCAAGAAGAAATTGGAATGACTATTGCCAAAGACTAGAAAACTAATGATTCTTAAAACTAAACTAGAAGCATGAAAAGAGTTAACAAGAGTGAAGAAGGCCTTACTCTTGCCTCTATATATGCTATGTAATTAGGAGCTATGAGGTGATGCTCTAAAAGACCTCAAACATGTGTCTAACTTGCATGAATTATATTTAATTTTTCTATAATGTGCAATATGTGGCTAACTTGCATGAATTATATTTAATTTTTCTATAATGTGCAATATGTGGCTAACTTCTTGGTCAAGTTTTCAACCTACCAATCACTTATAGATGCTTATAAAGATAAAACCACATTTATAAAGCTTCTATAATATAATAAATTATATTTTTCATATATTCTAATTTGTGATCTCTTCCAAGGTAGTTAATAGGTCCTCTTAGCCATCAATAATATTCGATTTTGGGATAAAAAACTACCTTGATATTTAATTATTATTGAGGCCTTCATAACTATCTTCAAATAAAATATTTTTTAAACCATTAAGGATCATTTCTATTTCTAATAAAATCACTTAATATTAAAAGTCTCTTCTAAGATTATAATAACAAATGTGTTGTATCTTACCATTTATTTAAAGAAGAATATGTCATTCTTAAAGGTCTTCATCTCTATTATGTTATCTTAAAAGTTGTAATAATTGTAATATCTTATCCAACAATTCCAAAAATAATAGCTTTTGAATTGAATCTATTGATTGTTGGTTGTCTAAGTCATTAGTAATACAAAAAAAAACCACAAACAAGGATAGAAGATAGAATGCAATCTTCATTAAATCTCATTTCTTTTTTAATAAAAAATTATTTGACTAAATATCTTAATTTTTGTAGATGTTGTTGATAAAAAGTTTTTATCTTCTTTGCTATATTTATAAGATTCTTTGTTGGCTCCAATGTACATTTACTAATATCATATCCACACCAATGAATAAGATATTTAAACCTAAATTGGCATCAGCTTGAGTCTAAAACTTCTTTTACGTCAAATTCTTGATTATTATCTACTTCTATAGAAAAAAGTGACATTTGTCTTCTTTCTAGAAAAAATATTATCTTATATGGCTCGAAAGAAGACACATAAAATATGTATGATCAGTATTCAATAGTTAAAGTCTATAATAATCTAATTTATCATAAAAAAATAGTCTTAATATTGTGATAAAATAATTATATTTTATTATTAATATGAAATTGATGTTATTCCTTGCAATAAGTATCTACATTAATCTTTTGTTATTCTTAAGCTTCTTTTAGTTGTGCCTTTATTATAGTATATAACTTTAATAAATAATTTGTCAAATCTTTTGCTACATGATTAATAACTTTTAAGAAGTCAAAAATATTAATTTATGGATAATAAATATAATTAATAAATAAAAGTATTTTTTGAATAGATAAATATATTTTATTATTGTAAAATAATTCTATTAGTGGTAAAAGAGTTATTCAATCATCTTTTTAGTAGTTGATGATACATCTCAAATATTATTCCAAAACTTTATTTATGCGCTTTATTTATCTATCAATTTGAAGATAGAAAGCTAAAAATAATTTTATGCCTATCTTCAAAATCTTGAAAAAGGTTCTTAAAAAATTTAATATAAATTGAGTCTTTTTATTCAATATAATATTTTTTGGTAATTTATAACAATAATAGATATTATTAAAAAAAACTTATTTCTTCACTTGTAATAGGTTTTGTACATGGTATAAAATGTGCCATCTTAATGAAATAATCCACTATTAAAAACATAAAGTTATAAAAACTTGAGACTAAAGTTTTGTCATAAAATCCATAAAAATACTTTAAATAAGTCAATATAATACAAGATTGGCACAAAAATAAAAGTTATCTTCAAAGCTTCAAAAGATGCTATGGCTTCTTTATTCCACTCAAGTTTTTCTTTATATGTCAAACATATAAGTAGAGCCATAATATAAGAAAATTTTTTGATGAAGATTTAATAATGATTGGAAAATCTTAAAAAATATTGGACATCTTTTATTATTTTTGGAATCTTCTAATTCATGATAGTATGAACTTTCTTAGGATCCATCATAAGGCCATTATTTGAAATGATGTATTTCAAGATATTAACTTGAATAGTATAATATATATATATATATATATATATATATATATATATATACCTTGGCATATATTCTTGCATCTCTAAAGTTTTGTAACTTACTACAAATATAAAGTTCATGCTCTTTTATAATTTTAGAATAGATGAAAATATTATTTATATAATAGAAAATAATAATCATCTAAAAATTCTTAAATGACATCATTTTTTAGATGTTAAAAAGTAATTGACATATTCATGAGTCCAAAAGACATGACATTATATTCAAAATACCTATACTTGATTTGAAACATGATCTTTTATTCATTTCTTTCTTTGATGAGTACTAGATTGTATGCTCTTTGAAGATCTATTTTGATGTAGATCTTATCTTCATTCAATTGATCAAGAAGTCAAAATATCAAGCATAGGAGGTATCTATTTTTGATGGTAATCTTATTAAATCTTCAATAATCCTTAGACATTTGCAATGATC